GGAAAGAGAATCTCGTTCTCTCTTGTGATTGTTTGCGCGCCCTCTGGCGTCATCGCGACTCTTCTCTATAAGGGATATAAGCATCGGCATATGTGCATTAAATATTTATGTATGATAAATATGATACATTTCATTTTTAAAATCATTATATAATGTCGTTCATATATATTTTACGATTATGTACTTATTTTAAATTATAAATGAAACCTTCCGTATAAGTTTTCATCAAGATTTTTGCGAAATTTATTTAACTTTAATATTTTTGTATGGGATTAAAATCACATAGTATAGGATAATATTTCTTCAAATATTATATATTGTATGATAAAATAATGACAATATTTCATAGTAATAATATTATAATTTCAAAGAATATTTTTTAACGTAAAAAATATTCATTTGTAAAAGAAAGGAAAAAAAATATGTTTCATTAATTGTGAATAATATGTAAATAATTCGTAGCCTTAAATTTAATATAAAAGCACCATAGAGTGAAATTATGTTGAATTGTAAATAAAGTAGCAGTCTTTATGATTCATTAAATAAAGAAGAAGTATCGAAGATTGTATGATGTAGTAGTGATTTCTTGAGAAGCGAATGAGATTTTTAAATAAATTTATTATAGTTAACATAAAGGCAAATAGGCTTAGAATTTAATCTTAAAATTAATACGTAAAATTTCTTGGTGTACTACTCTATTTACTGCTTATATTAATGGATATTAGATTAGAGGGACTAATACTTCGGTATTATTATAGCGAACAATTTTCCTTCCGTATGCTAATATATTTTGATTAAATATATTTATTTCTAAACTGTGCAATGAAAATATTGTTAAAAATTTATTATGCTTGCGCTTTAATTACAAAGCACCATGAATATAATATAAATTGCGATGGGTTATTGATAATACATGTATTATCTTTGTTTAAAAAGTATACGAATGATTATAGAGGTATTAGATGAAATAAAATTTCTAATATTATTATTGTAACATACATTTTTTAGGGGAAAATAAAATTATTTATTCAAACGTAATCGATAAAATAATACATGTAATTTATTGTATTATATATAATTCATCATATACAAGTACTTAGGTAGTTTCATAATCATTACATTACTAATGTATTCAAGCAGCTTGAATAAACATTATTAACATAAATTAGTTTTATTTATATAAAAATGCAGTATAAAGAATTCATATTAACTCATGGCTGCATTAAAGATTATTTATATCATTGGATTATATTGAATTACAAAATATTTTTTACACAAATTATCGTGTATACATTTGTCTAAAATTAATCAGTTTTTACAGATGAATATAATTTTAAGGAAAATTTTTGCTATAATTCTTAAACGCATCATTAATTCTAAACATTCTCGTAATTTGAATTGAATTTATAAACTTTCGTTAATATGTATTTAAAGACTGATAATCAGTGATTATCTGTAAATTCTTGACATAATGTTAATTATGTTAACCGAAATGTGACATTGAAGTTGCGCGAAATTCTTAGCGAATTATTATCGACGTCACGCCGCATTATCTTTCACCTCCTTTCCCATACTAATTATTTAACATTTTTATATAAAGTTTCACGATATAACAAACATTCTTCTTGATCTTTATTGCTTCTTTTTTTTTCAAAGTATTCAATGAATTATATCTCTTAAAAAGTATTTTAGTATTGGTTTTATAATAGATAATAAAGTAGTATTAGAGACATATGATAATGAATAAATAAATATTTTATTTATCATGAACAATCAATAAAGTTTTATATAATAATAGTACAGTTATTGAAAATAATATTATTTAAAAAGTGGACAATTTCGATGGAATAATCTACGATACTATTAAATAATAAATGATCGTTTATGCAAAAAACACACACGAACAAACAAACATGCCCAGAGCTAATTGATTTGTACGAATATATGAGTTAATAAATTTCATATCTGTATTGAACGGAGCATGTCATTGATGTTCTATTAATATAATAATTTATAGGTTTAATCGATCACTGTCTGGATTTCTATATTATCACCTTAGATGAATAAATAATCAAATCTTGGCTCATTTCAATTATTAAATAATATACGATAAATCGAATAATCAATTAAAACGCGAGATTAAAGAATAAAATTAAAAAGTAAAGAAGTAAGTGAGTATAGGCGGAAAATAGTAAAACGCTTCCGCTTATCTTTGCACGTCCAGTGTTGTCCGCATCCGTCAAAAATCCATTTCCTCGTGTCTACTAATCGTATTTCCCGTGTCCCGTGTCCTCGAACAGTGTCAGGTCCAATTTCGCCAACAGATTGGCGCCGCGACGACTAGGATTCACATCTCTAATAGCTTTCTCCCGTTCTCATAATCAAGCGGACGCAGACCATCATCTCCGCCAATCGACGCTAACTCTGAATTTTTCCGTTTATTGTTGCAGACTTGTAAGCGCCCGGCAGACACAATGGCCCCCAAAACCCCGAGGATACGCTAGGATTAAACGACCGCCACCGTCGCGATGATGGCAGCATTGGAGTCGCCAATAATGAACAGGATGGACGATAAGGTATATTATCCTGAGCTCCCCCTTATGCTTAAAAGGCCAAATTTGCTTATAAATTCCGCAGCTTATCTAAGCTTTTCTTAATTAAATGGTAAACAGAAGGGAATAATATGATGTTGATACGTAATAAAAGAAAGAAAAAAAAAAAAAAAAAATTAAAGCCAAGGCTTCCTTTTTACTCTTTGTTTCGTTATTTTATTATTAGCACATGATTTTTTACACCAAATCTATTATTTATCACGTATACGTATATATATATATATATATGTATATATATATATATATATACATACATATATTAATTAATTTTTATTTAAATCTCGTAATACATAGCTTAAACAGCATCTATATTAATGCATTGTTATGTAATTAACATATAAAATTATTAGTTCCCGATCGTTTCATTTTATAAGGATGCTCAGAACAATTTGCTTTATGCTTTAGTAATATATGGATTCTCACTCTAAGAGAACAACCTTTTTTTCACTACAGTTTTTAGTTTCTTGTGGAAAAAGTTTTTTACTTGAATATCCGTGGCCTAAGTTAACGAGTCTATGTGAACTTTTAAAAGATAATAATTTGATAAAAATTTTCAAATATTGTTCATCTAAGCCAATTAAATTTATTTTACGGATTTACGGATTCGTGTACGAAATCAAGTCAGAGTAAACGAAAAGTTAAAAAACTTTTAGCCATTCCATTGGTATTGTCATGACTATCCGATCTTATACGATCACAATAAATCTTCAAGATTTAATTTTAAGCATAATTGTAGATGTAATTGAATTTAACGCTCGTGTCCATGATTTTCCCAATAATATGCTGCTACAGCAATTTCATAGAAAGATTGTAAGAATATTAATAGTTTTCCAAGTAAATACTATTTTCCGTTAAGCAAATACATATTGTATATGTATACATTGAGCTTAGTATTATTATGCATAAAATCCGTGCAAATAATATATGTATAATGTTAATTATGAATGTTATATACCGATAACCTACGTTTTCGGTGTAATACACGGTCAATCGAATCCATATTGTGTTTTAAAATTCTTAAAAGATAGAAACTTTGTCTTAACGATGCCTATTCATCGCGTAAACTTGAACTACTTTTGAACGTATGTTTATTTTATAAAGGCTTTATCTTATAGACTTAAGCGCAAACCGATATAATTTAACTAAGTAACTTAGAATCAATTATTTGCACTTTCGATACAACTTTCCATAATGGATATCGGCACTTTTCCACGGAAAAATTAAGCTTCTATCGAGAGTATCGCCGAACCTCGGCATCCCATATCCTGTGTTGCCTGTCTGTCTGACCATCTTCCTCCTCCCCTCCCCACCCCTCCCCACCCCTTCCCCCTTCTCCCTTCACCGCGCCACGCACTATAACATTTTTATCATGAAAATCTCGATATTTACATTTGGCATAAACACGTCTTGATGTAAACTGCTTAAGTACCGTATTTATTGATCTCCCCAGAAAACATTGGGATTTGTCATTGCAGCACCGTATGTTATTGCTCTTATTTTCGGGCGTGTTATGATCACCTCTGTGCATGGATTTCCAAATTAAACTTTTAGCGACATTTCGATGTAAACATTTACAATTATTAACTATCTTCATCAATAGCCACTAATCTTTATAAAAACAATAGATCATCCAATCAAACCTGCACTCTTTTAATTAATTCTGACGATTATTTCATATTCATATTTATACTTTATATAACAAATTAATTCTTATTAAAAATTCTACTGTATGAGAGAAAAAAAGGAAGAATAAAATGTATCTTAAAGAGCGATTATATGTCAAAGGTGAGATTTAACAATATATTTCTATGTCGCGTAGATATTATAAATATGATTACCAATTTTATCATTATCAGGCTTACCAAATCTATAAATTCATCATGTCCATAAAATAGATTGCATAATGAAAGAGAACGTAGACGACAAAAGTAATTTTTCAGCAGCACAAAGTAAAATAATTTCTATTTCTTTAAATCACATTGAAGACAAATTTTTATAACAGTAGTCCGTGAGAAGCAGAAGATATAGAATACATAAAATAGAAAATAAAATTAAATAATTAATTCTTAAAAACTTATATAGAAGAATGATTGAAGCAAACTGGCAAGAAATATTTTATAGACATTAAATTAATGTACTTTGAAGGATACACAAGTGGCACGTAAAATTATCGTTACATACATTATAATCTAAACAATAAACAGCTTATGTAAGCATAATTTTATGATTCCGTAACTTACGTGCCATAAGTTATTACGTACTGCTTAATAGATTGTTAAACACATATTTACAGAAACATTTTCTTTCCTAGATTTATAGCGATTAATACAGTTGCATTTTGTTGTTCAAAAACTACGTAAAAATAATGAAGCAACTTATAATACGTAGAATTTGACGGTAATTCTGATGGAGTCTGATGTATAAAAAAAATTATTCGAAAACTAATTTCATCTTTTATCAATTTTCCTTATTTAACTTCATTGCGCGTCATCTCGAGTTAATAATAATTAACGTACACGTTAATAATCAGATTGAGATGCCGATTTCCATCAACTTATATCACTACCAACATACATACCGTCTTAACGAGCGCATATTTTAAAATCAGCCGGAGTAACGAAAATGTCCGAGGAGGGAAATCTTTAGCGATCACAGTCACGATATCCTTCGTAATCCTACTTAGCGGTGGTCGGAAATTTCTAACGGCTCCGAATTAACGTCCATCGATCGTTGTAGTTTGGGTTACAGAACGGCGTGTCGTGCCAGGACTCGAGCGCACCCCCTGACGAGGACGTCCTCGGCTCGTCAATCGACTGTTCGGTTAAGCTGCAGCAGAGATCCGCGATGGCCGAGGCCGAGGATCCGAACGGCACGATCAGCGGCGACTCTAACTGCACGATAAACAGCGAGTGCGACATCACGGTTATTCACGTCCCCGTGACTAGTGACACCGGCGAGCGCATCGCCAAGGAAGCCGAAGACGACAATGGCAGCGGCAGGGGAGGCGGTGGCGGACTCGAGGGCAAGGACTGTAAGGACGGTAGCGATAGCGGCGTCGAGGGATGTGCAACCGAGTTGCCGAGGGTATGGTACCTGCTTCTTACGTAGTTGTTACATTTATTTTCGCTCTATTTGGCAGCGTTACAAGCAGCTGCGTCAAACAATACTTTGTAAATGTTGAAGAAAATGCTGCAGCACCTAAAGTCGAAGCAGAGTTATGTCGAGAGAGCGCGCGTTCGGTCGTTATCGTATCCTTTCGCAGAAAGTGTATGTATTCCAAGTGTATAAACGATCCAGTCCATTATAAAGGGATTTTTGTTGCCTGGATTTACCTGCAATATTTTGTCTGTTTGGGCGCGTGAGTGCGAATACGTATATCGACGAAACTCGGGGCTTTAATAGGTTCGAGTGAAATGTGTTGGACAACGAGTGCACGTTAATCGATGAGAGCAGCAGCAGCAGCAGCAGCAGCAGCAGCACGTATGCATGAAAGAAATTACGCCATTAACGCTAATTCGTATGACTAATGTAAGAAAGCAATGACGTTAACACGCATGCTTTTGTTTCTTTTCTTTTTTTTTTCTTTCCGTATATATATATATTTTTTTTTTATTTTTTTTTTTTATTTTATATTACCTGCCGGTGTATTATTAATAATTTACCCATAAAAACGTCGATAAATTGTAAAGAATATGATGTTGCTTTTATGAAAAACAGTCTTGTAGTGGACATTAAAAACATAAAAGACTGCATTTATTTTAAAAGCATTGTAATTACGTACTAGAAAATTTTTTTTTATAAAGAAAATTTTCTAATATATATTACGGTAAATGAGAACTTCCCTTCTTCAGCTACGGTAATTATGCCATAAGTGTCGTTGCCTCGTGTAACTCGTATGCACTTGCGGTATTTTTGTTTGTTTGTTTGTTTGTTTTCTTTCTCTTTTTCTCTTCCTTCTTTTTTGTTTTGTACGATCGCTTGGAATACAAAGTTCAAATGCAACAAACTCGTTATCATTAAATGTGATTAAAAATTGATGGACGGTTACGGATATTACATCCATTAATCAAGCAGAAGGTATATATACCCAATAATAAAGTGAAATATTCTATAATGTGAAAGACTTTCAAATAGCCGTTTCAACGAAGATTTAACTTTAATTTTGCGGTTTAAATATAGCTTGCGAGACAGGCGTGTAAATTTGTAATTAACGATCGTTGAACCCTAAGCGTTAATGCAAGAATGCATAAAAAGAATTTGCAATTACACCGTATAGACTAAGCGTGTTAATTATTTAGAATATCGACGGTTCATTAGATGGGCCAAACAAATCATGACAAATTCGTCAATTAAACGTTTCAAAATTGATAAAGCAGTCGTTTAGAAAGTCGATCGCTTCAACGACGTAAAATAAATATACGAGTATGGCGACAATAACAAACACGGAACAGCTGCGTCATTTTTCTCTCGCTTGGCTCAATGGCGCACGCGTCATTCGAACACAAAGTACACTGTAACACGAGGGTGGCGGCTGAGTCACGGTAAAGAGTGTCGAGAGCACCTGGTGTCAAGGGAGCAAGGGGATCTAGCCCGGCGACTTGGCTCAAATCGACGCGAAAGGCAAATAATGACGAGAAAAACGTCTGTCCTTAGGTGCAAAGCCGCAACAGCGTGGACTACGCGAGCAGCTGCAACGGCCTGGACGAAGCTTCGTGCGACTCGAGCCTCGTCAGCTGCTGCTCCGTATACGAGGATCCCTGTGCCATCTTGCCGGAGGACACGCGGCTGGGCCCCGGTTCCGGGGGCTTGGGTGGGCCGCCTGGGGGTGGCGAGGGTACCAGCGAGGGCGGCAGCGAGAGTTCGTCGATCGCCGGCAGCGTATCCGCCCGCGTGCAAAAGCGACAGAATCCAGCCGGCGCCCAGCCCAAGAAGAAGATCGGCGCCCAGTACGTCTGACTTCTATGTGCTCTACTTGACTCCAATAGCCTTGGCCTCTTAATCATTATTATCCTTCCTCTCCGCGTTCGCGCATCGACTCGCTCCTCGCTCATTTTATACGCTTTTCTTTTGCGAAACGATGCCAGTATTTCCTTTCTTTATTTCTTCAACATTGGAATTGTTAAAATCCAAAGTGGCTTGCATTAAAATAGGTTTTCCAGCGATTGTGATTACTAATGAATTTATCGATGCAAACGCTGCTTTCTCTCTCTCTCTCTCTCTCTCTCTCTCTCTCTTATGTTTTTCACGTGCGCGCAACTTTGCTCGCTCGCACTTCGCACTTTTCTCGTCATTAATCCTCTGTGATGACAATGTCAATAATTCATTCCTATCTATCTAATTTTAAGCGTACAATCAGAAAAATCGTTATGATTAAAACTGTAATTTATAATAAGACAACGTCATATGCTCGCTGTCTTTTATTATTTCAACGAGGCTTATTTATACATTCGAAGTCAATTGATCTATGATACCTTAAGCATCGTTATGGGTCAACTTTAAAAACAAGATCGTTTGACCAGGAATTTAGAGACCATACATAATTGTACAATTATACTCCGACCAAACTCGGCTTGATAGGCTTGATATCCTTGAAAGGCGCGATATTAAAAGGACCTGTAATTCTTACTCCCATGCAATATAGGCCGAGTGGCCAGTGCGTCGTCGAATTGTAGCCTCGAAGATGAGTTGACCGGCACCTGCCCCCGCGATAAATCGGTGAATTGGCGATTCCGTATCGAGCGTGGCAAAGATGCTCACCCTTTAATCATGCTGATTTGTTGATTTTCAGCGGCTTGACGGACGCGCAGAAGAGCACCGGGCAGCGGACGAGTAGGGGCACGACTCCGTCGAGCGTCGGCGCCACGGTTAACGGCACGACGTCGACGGGCGCGAGAGCCAAGCCCCGTCCAACCCTCCAGCGCAACGTTCCCGCCAAGGGGCAAACCGGCTGCAGGGAGAGCAGCAGAGGCCGCTCGCGTGACAAGTCCCTGGCGAAGGAGCCCAGAGATTGCTCGGGCCCCGCCCCCGGCAGCAGCAGGGGCCCATCCGCTGCGAGGCTCGCCAACACCCCCGCAGGTAGCACTGTCGCATCGAGGGCGAGAGCGAGACCGGACTCTCTTCCCTCCGCGCTCACCACCGAGATCAACAAGGACCTGGCCCAACGTGGGAAGGCTGCTGGTAAAAGGACCTTGTCACACCCGTTCTTTATGGACGAATCGCGGAAGCAGGGTGCATTGAATGGCTTGTAGAGCAATTGGTGATTCGGGAATATAATGCCTACATTAAAATTATCAAAGATTTGATTTGATAAAATTGAGAGAAAAAAAAGATTAATCTCTTAATTGTTTATTTATTTTCGGATTTGTTTTTATTAATGATAAAGTGTACCATATTTAATGGTCAAAATTATCAGTCGACTCAAATGACTTTATCCTAGTACATTTTTCCATTTTCGAAATATCAATAATGTCCATATATTTTTGAGAGAGAAAAAAAATATATATATATATATATATATATATATATATATTTATATTTATTATTTCGTACATATTTATCATGTAATGTGCATATAGTAAAAGATTAATTGGAAATTCACAATATTATTTAGATAAAATAATCGTATCGCTGTATTACCGATGAAACTGACGAACATAAATTAAAATCGTAAATAACATAAAATTTCGTAAATTACAATAATTCCATCTACGTTCTATGCTTTCAATGAAATTCAAAGGCCAGTTAACAAAGTATTCGAAACGATAATAATATCTTCACGAGTAAATCCGTCCAAGAGTAAACGAATGTTCGTTTATTGCTACGTCGTAATAACGTGAAAAGTAAATTTTTGTTGTAATCCGCCTATTCTTTTCCATTGTTTTGAAAGTAAATCTATCGATTATCCAACGAGGCAATGAATTTTCTCAATAAAGAGTGAGCGAGTGAGCGAGTGAGTGAGAGGAGTGGACTCAATTGTTATCAACCCAATCCTTATTGCTTTCAGGTACGACACGAGCAAGAGGCGGTGGGACAACACGACCGGGCACGAGCACGAGCACGAGCACGAGTCGTACCCCGGGTTCGACACCTTCGGAAGATGGCCGGAAGGCGCTGTCGAGCGCTGGGCGCAGTGCGAGTCTCTACGCGAGCCGTGTTGACCCGCGCGCCTCTCGCCTTCTCGACAAGATGTGCTCGAGCGCCGACGGGAGCAAGACCATCGATGCGTACGTGACGCTGCCGCGAACCGCCAGGCACGGCAGGTTCGCCGCACCCAAGACGACCGAGAAGCCGCCCGTAGCATGCCGCAGCCGTTCCGGAAGCAGGGACGCGAGCCTCAACAGGATCCTCGGCAGGAAAGCCCCGAACAGCAAGGAGGCCGGCGCGCACAAAGGCCTGCCCCCCTACCCCAAGCACAAGGCCACCGAGAAAACGCGCATTTATCACGAGACGAGCGTGCAGACTGGCTTGACGAGTATGTTCCTTCGGGTTCGCTTGTTTTTTTTTTTTTTTTTTTTTTTTTTTT